TCCCCCCCCCCCCCCCCCCCCCCCCTTCCCCCCCACTTCCCCCTCCCCCCCCACTTCCCCCTACCCCCTCCATCCTCTATAGCCACAGTAGGTGCGGTGACGTTTGGGGGGGAGGGGGGGGCGAAGGCGCATGTCCGGTGGAGGTAGCATGCTCCGTAGCTAAATTTGGGGCTCCCAGGTCCCCCTTCCGTCTGAGTCATTCGCTGATTGCATCGTGCTCTTTGTTTATTACGACGCCCTTGCCCTTGCCCTTGCCCTTGTTCTGCTCTGGTTTCACATATTCATCTTCGACGATTCGAGCAACAGATTCGAGAAAGCAAGGAGAAGCAACGTAATGCCGCTCCGGAAATCTCAGCGAAAAAAATCGGAATTTCAATCCATATTAATTGCGCATGCAAATTTTCAATCGGCGACGGAGAATTTCAATCGGTGTCGGAGCAAAAAAACGGACAAATGAACCGATAATGAAGGCATTCCCACTCCTGGCAACACTTTCAGAATCCTTTCGCTTTTATTTTTCCGCGTAATCTTGGCAGCGGCCACGGTCAGAGGTAGGAGGAGCCCGAGCAAGGGAATTTGGCACAACAATTTGGCACACCCACCGCCAAGCAAGAAGAAACAGTATCCGCTGATCCGTGCCCTCGTCCGGTCTTCGGCTCCTTCGTCCCGAATTTCCTTTCGTCTCCTCAAATAGGTAGTCGGATTCCTGGATATAGAAATATTTAAAATTTGCATGTTAAATTTGCATTTTGAATTAGCACTGCGTCAACTAAATTATTTATAGGATTTGCGGAAACCTAGCGTGTGATAAATTTTTGCGGGAATGTTTGCAATGTGTCTGTTTTTGCGGTGCGATTATTTTCCAGAATTCAAACGTGCCGATCCTACCGATTTTTTTGCTTCGTGCCATTTATTTGCTTCCCAATTTTCACTTTTTGATCTCGCCGAATCGGCTCTCAAATTTTTTTTTGTTCCCTGTCGGGTTTCTTGCGATTTTTCCGAACAGGTTGAGACTCTGCGAATTTTCATCAGCAGGCGCAACGACTCGTGCAAATTTCGTTCAGTGCCAATTTTGCCCAATCGGTCAATGATGATTTTTTGCCCGTTTTTCTCGGGAAACGTTCCCGATCCCACCCAGCACGCACACGAACCTCCAAAATCGATACTTTCCTCATGACGTTAATGACTAATCGGTCGCGACGGTTGCCATGGTTGCCTTCGATTGGACAAAGTCTCCGTGGATCTTAAATTCAAAATTCCTCACGTCTATAACTAAATAACTAACCAAATAACTAAATAACAATTAAGTGTCCCTGCGTCCAACTCAGCAAATCGCGCGTTGAAAAACGAAAAGAATGGAATGTGCATGAACAGGTCGACCCTCGAAACAGGTCGACTCCATCGACTCCAACGACCTACAGGGTGGAAAAATACCTTTCATCAGCATTTTTAGAGTCGTGATGAGAATTTGAAGTCCTGATTATTTCAAAACTGTTAATCATCCTTTTCAGATTGAAATGTAATATTTATTAATATAAATAATACTTAAAGCATAAACAGTTTATACGTTTAATATGTATATTGCCTCGGCCTGTCACACTCTTCCTTCGAGAGAAAGTTCAAATCACGAAGCGGACAAGGAAGACCAGAAATGCATTCGCTTTGAGAAATTCAAATTTGAGCAAGTTTTCTCTCGGTCTCCGCATAAATTGTTTGGTGAAGGTGAGATGCAGTCCTGGTATCCCAGCTGTAGAGATTTAATCTTACAAAAATTAATCCTAGCAATAAATTAACTGACTACGTGAATGCGAAGTAAAGATCGACAGAAAGTACTTGCAGTACGGTTACTCTCTCCAGTCAACTACAATTGAACAGCCTTAAAGCATTTAACAGCCTTTGGCGATGTTAAACCTGCAACTTTTAATTTTTTATTCGGTAAGGGGTATGGGTTCTAAGACTACGATCTGGATGGCAAGTGGCAACAGTCCAGCCAGCGATTATTGGATCAACAAGCAATTGTTGGTGCAAGCAATTGTTTGACCGGTTGCAAGCAATTTAAGTTTTTTTTCAATACAAACGCGTGGAAATGTCCTTTTCATGCCACGTAAATTTTTTTTTCATGCAGCACCTCTGTCGGACGGGAATGTTTTTACGTCTTCGTTGATTTTCCTCTGCGCGAAATTTGCGATATGTTGGGAAATTTTGCACAAGGAGAGGACGAGACTTTTGGGAACTCCCGGAGACGAGAACTTGAAAAAATGACGGACGTTTGTCCCAGATTAACAGGAAAAAAAGACGATGCAACCAAGTGGCGCAGGTAATTCGCAGAAGAATATTCGCACGGCTGCAAATTAATTATTGAGGTTTCCCCTGATCACTGCGCACGGGGACTCCGTGCATCTTCGCGTCTCTCTGCGTTGCGATCGATTGCGATCTATTCTTCTCGTTCAGCTCGTCTGTACTTGTCTTCGTCCTCGTCATGACCGTGGTCGTGACCGTGGTCATAACTGTGGTCGTGACCGTGGTCATAACCGTGGTCGTGACCGCTATCTCGACTGGTGACCTTTGCAACATCCCGCAGATCCGCGAATCCTCGAGGCATTAGTCGCAGCCAACAAAAACGAAAAAAGGCACAAAAAAATCTGCAACTTTTTCGTCTGCATGCGGCCAGGCTCTCAGCGAATTCGAAACTCGAGCATCCAGTCCCACGGCAGCCAAGTTGATTTTGCAAAAAAAAAAAGCGGAAACCGTACCTTCCAGGGCCCTCATGTACCAGGACCAGAACCTGCTCTTCAGCTCCAACGGACTCCCGATCGTGTACAGGTCGAGGTGTCGTTTCAGCAGCATCTCCGCTGTCTGTAAACCAAAAAGTAAACCAGCGGTGAAAATATGCGAGCCAAATTTCAAAGACGGATTTCACAGTCAGATTTCACGCATTTTCCACATATTTGAAGGGTGAAACGAGACGCGGATTTTTAGCAACGGGATTCCTGGCGGGCTGGAACGGAACGGATATGCGAGGTCTGGAAATAGCAAATCAGGGGAGAATGGCCCAGTTTTTTGGCCAGCTTTTGGCAAACTTCCCTCTCCTTTTTTCCCCCCTTTTTGCAAGGCCATCCTCGCTTTCCTCACTCAGCTGATTGCAGGAACTTGGTGCGGTATCAAGCATAACACGTTTCGGATTAATTTCGGGTTCAACGCTGGTTCAACCTGCGCAGAATCGCGAATTTTGCAGTCTTCGCAGTTTTTATTTGCAAATGGCGGTTGAACGTGCTGATCGCAGCCGCATTTGCGAATGCGGAGTACCGGAAAAAAAAAAACATGTTAAAATATTATTCTTAGGTCGAAACAAAAAATGCAACAAGCGAGCAAGGCAAGGATCCATTTGGTTTGCTAAATATTTTGCATAAATAAATAAGCAGAGCGTGCCAAAAAAAAACCACTTGCGGATGATGGCACGAAAGCGCAGACGATCGACCCCGACATAATTTATTACGTATAAATTATATACTTTACTTATTTATTTATTACAAGTCCGACCATTGATTCGCAGGCGAAACCGAACCGGAAAAAGCGTGAGATTAAATCCTTCCAGTTTTTCCACGTGGAATGACTGTCACGAGAGACATCTGGTGTTGACCGAGTTGAAGTCTGGAATCAGCGGGAATCCAGAACTCCTTTTTTTTTTTGCATTTATTTCGCAATTTTTCTATCGTTGGAGCATAAGCATCGCTGCCAAGATTTGCATTTGCCTTCCCTGACGGGTTGAAAGCGTGAGGATTCTCGGGACAGACGTCAAAGTCTCTCATCCCTCAAACATTCTCAAACATTCTCAAACATTGGGGAAAGGGGAATCCCCAATGTTTGTACAGAGGATCAGTCACTCGCGCTGAGCCGTCACGACCGCCGCCTTCTTGAGTTGGGCGGCAAGTTTTCGAAAACTTGCACCGGAAGTCGGGCTGTTGGTTTGCCTCGTGTCGGTTCGTGTCGGTTCGTGTCGACCTGTTGCCCCGATGACTTTCCAGTCGCAGGCTCGATTGAGAGAATCCCAAGAATTTCACGCGTGGCGATCACGCGTGAATCTGTTACAGCCTCCAAGGGAAGCCCGTGAGTGATCAAAATTTTTTCTCGCGAAAAAATAATTTCGTCGCGTGAAGCAAGGCCGTTCCCACGCGAGCGAAAATTTTCCCACGGACCCAAACACCCAGCGGCCAATCATTAGCGAAGCCGAGAGGCGAACCGACCGATGCACGCGCAACCATCCGCAAGCACGTGTGACCGACCTTGACCTTGATCGTGCTGGTAGCTGGGTAGGGTGCCAAGCCCGAAAAGGACAACCGGCCGGTGGTGCCTCGCGCCTCTGCTTAATTTAACCGCGTGGTTAATTTAACCGCGGGGTTAAACTATTTTTGGTTCCTGGGAAGAGTTCGGAGGTTTTCAAAATTAGATCATTTCAAGCAGCAATTGCTGTCGGCAACGCTGTGTCGACACGTGTCGACTGTTGTCGACCGATTCCACTTTAACAACATTCTTAATTGTCGGGAAAATAAAGAGGAATTACTTTCTTCCTTTTTTTCCGGCGAAGAGTATTTAAATAAAAATTGACTGCCGAGCAAAATAAACTGCCTGAAAGTATATAAAAACAACTTTCAAATAATTGCACATAAATCGCTGAAAATCTCCGGATGATCTGGAATCCCCAATGGGATTTTCTCAATGGGTAAAGGAACGGAAAGACGAAACGAAGCGACGAGACGGAAAAGCGTGAGAGCAGGTGAGAATGATGGCATAGGTCCTTTCCACCTACGCACGAGGAAGGTGGGAGGGGGGCAGGGGGGCAGGGGGGGGGGGAGGCAATGAGACCTTGAACGCAAGCCAAGTTCGTGGGGCGGCTTCGCGCCTAGCCTTTTTAGTCTCCTTACGTTCCTGTATGTATGTATGTGTATGTATGTGTGTGTGTGTGTGTGTGTGTGTGTGAAAATTTCATCTACGATTTCGTTCATGAAGTAAATCTGAAACTTGAACTAAAACCCCAAACGAGATGAGAAAATCCCCCTTCCAAAAATTGATGCGGAGACCGAGAGAAAACTTGCTCAAATTTGAATTTCTCAAAGCGAATGCATTTCTGGTCTTCCTTGTCCGCTTCGTGATTTGAACTTTCTCTCGATCGAAGAGTGTGACAGGCCGAGGCAATATACATATTAAACGTATAAATTGTTTATGCTTTAAGTATTATTTATATTAATAAATATTACATTTCAACCTGAAAAGGATGATTAACAGTTTTGAAATAATCAGGACTTCAAATTCTCATCACGACTCTAAAAATGCTGATGAAAGGTATTTTTCCACCGTGTAGGTCGTTGGAGTCGATGGAGTCGACCTGTTTCGAGGGTCGACCTGTTTCGAGGGTCGACCTGTTTCGAGGGTCGACCTGTTTCGAGGGTCGACCTGTTTCGAGGGTCGACCTGTTCATGCACATTCCATTCTTTTCGTTTTTCAACGCGCGATTTGCTGAGTTGGACGCAGGGACACTTAATTGTTATTTAGTTATTTGGTTAGTTATTTAGTTATAGACGTGAGGAATTTTGAATTTAAGATCCACGGAGACTTTGTCCAATCGAAGGCAACCATGGCAACCGTCGCGACCGATTAGTCATTAACGTCATGAGGAAAATATCGATTTTGGAGGTTCGTGTGCGTGCTGGGTGGGATCGGGAACGTTTCCCGAGAAAAACGGGCAAAAAATCATCATTGACCGATTGGGCAAAATTGGCACTGAACGAAATTTGCACGAGTCGTTGCGCCTGCTGATGAAAATTCGCAGAGTCTCAACCTGTTCGGAAAAATCGCAAGAAACCCGACAGGGAACAAAAAAAAATTTGAGAGCCGATTCGGCGAGATCAAAAAGTGAAAATTGGGAAGCAAATAAATGGCACGAAGCAAAAAAATCGGTAGGATCGGCACGTTTGAATTCTGGAAAATAATCGCACCGCAAAAACAGACACATTGCAAACATTCCCGCAAAAATTTATCACACGCTAGGTTTCCGCAAATCCTATAAATAATTTAGTTGACGCAGTGCTAATTCAAAATGCAAATTTAACATGCAAATTTTAAATATTTCTATATCCAGGAATCCGACTACCTATTTGAGGAGACGAAAGGAAATTCGGGACGAAGGAGCCGAAGACCGGACGAGGGCACGGATCAGCGGATACTGTTTCTTCTTGCTTGGCGGTGGGTGTGCCAAATTGTTGTGCCAAATTCCCTTGCTCGGGCTCCTCCTACCTCTGACCGTGGCCGCTGCCAAGATTACGCGGAAAAATAAAAGCGAAAGGATTCTGAAAGTGTTGCCAGGAGTGGGAATGCCTTCATTATCGGTTCATTTGTCCGTTTTTTTGCTCCGACACCGATTGAAATTCTCCGTCGCCGATTGAAAATTTGCATGCGCAATTAATATGGATTGAAATTCCGATTTTTTTCGCTGAGATTTCCGGAGCGGCATTACGTTGCTTCTCCTTGCTTTCTCGAATCTGTTGCTCGAATCGTCGAAGATGAATATGTGAAACCAGAGCAGAACAAGGGCAAGGGCAAGGGCAAGGGCGTCGTAATAAACAAAGAGCACGATGCAATCAGCGAATGACTCAGACGGAAGGGGGACCTGGGAGCCCCAAATTTAGCTACGGAGCATGCTACCTCCACCGGACATGCGCCTTCGCCCCCCCCTCCCCCCCAAACGTCACCGCACCTACTGTGGCTATAGAGGATGGAGGGGGTAGGGGGAAGTGGGGGGGGAGGGGGAAGTGGGGGGGAAGGGGGGGGGGGGGGGGGGGGGGGG